TCACCTGCTGGCGCCGCCGGCCGGTCCCGTGTGCAGCCTCGCGCCACGCCGTCCTTCGGTGGAACTCGTGTGGATCCCGCGGGGCCTCGGTGTCCCCCGCCCCGCCTGCCTGTCAGCGCAGAAGCAGCCGCCTGCGCTCTCCGCTCGCGCCCCTGCCCCGAGATCGGGGCCGTGCTGGCTCGCCGAGGCTTCTCAAATCAGAAGCCAACGCTTCCCCGCCTGCAGGGCTGCCGAAGCTCGGTTCTCAGTGCCCCGCAGTGGCTTTCTAGGCCGCCCGCCCGCCCACTCTTGTCGCGTCCCCACCCCCGGGAGCGCGGACCGCGCCGCTGCCACTCGCGCCCTGCCGTTAAGCGACGCGGGCGTGGGCGGCCGGGCGGTCGCACGAATCTGGGGACCTGGAGCACCGATTGGGAGGGAAGGGTCTTGGTCACTCACGATTTCAACCCGCTCCGCGCCGCTCCTGGAGACTCGGGCTGCCTGCCACAGTGGGTCTGTCCCGTAGATTCTCACCTCTTCCTGGCTAGCGGGCACGCCCCGAGGATGCCTGCCTCTTTCTGGAGTTCAGTCTGGTGGAGGTGGATGGCAGTGGCTGTTGAGCCCGTCGGTTGCACTGGTGTTTTTTTTCTTTTTAATTTGAGTTGGGGGGGGTCTCTGTCTCCCAGGCTGGAGTGTAGTGGCACTATCACTGCCCACCACAGCCTCGACCTTCTGGGCTCAGGTAATCCTTTTGCCTCAGCCTCCTGAGTAGCTGGGACTACAAGCAGACGCTACCACGCCCGGCTAGTTTTTTTAATTTTATTTTTTTGTGGAGATGAGGTCTTGCTATGTTGCCCAGGCTGGTCTCAATCTCCTGGACTCAAGCAGTCCTCCTGCCTCGGCCTCCCAAGGTGCTGGATTACAGGCATAAACCACCGCACCTGGCTGGTTGTTTTGGGTTTTGAGGAACTCATTTACTTTATTTGAGAGTTCTGGAATAGGATGTCTTGAAAGGTTTCGCATATGTGGTCACACATGTAGAATAACTTTATAGGTAATTATTCTTCTGTTATTTTGAGTTAGAGTTTCACTCTGTCGCCCAGGCTGGAGTACAGTGGCACACTCACAGCCACCCCAGCGTCGACCTATTGGGCTCTGGTGATCCTTCCGCCTCAGCCTTCCAAGTGCTGGAACTACAGGCATGCGCTTCCATGCCTGGCTAATTTTTTATTTATTGTAGAGACGAGGTCTTGCCAAGTTGCCCAGGCTGGTCTCAAACCCCTGGTCTCAGTCAATCCGCTTGCCTCAGTCTCCCCAAGTCCTGGGATTACAGGCTTGAGCCACCCCGCCCAACCCAGTTATTTTCTTAATAGTGCCTTGAGTTACAGACTTCCAGCGGTTCCTTGGTGGAATGAGTTACATGTTTTGTGGTCAGGTGTTAGTCCACTAGGAAACACCGTACAGGGAGGGGCACTGACACTCATTCATTAGAACATAATTAGAATAACTCAGCTGTCATTTGACATATTTTGTTTACTTCACACAGTAACCTTGTGTAGTAGGATTATTCACTTTTTCTTTTTTTTTTTTTTTGAGTTGGAATCTCACTCTGTCTCTCAGACTGGAGTGCAGTGGCCGCTCCCGGCCACCG